ATTTCACTGACACCAAGGCCTTGTTAAGAGCTGCAGAAAACCACAGATAAGCAAGTACAAACGAAGTAAAAATAATTCAACAGTTCCAACTTGGGTGCACATGTAGCAAATTTCCAACTTTTCAAAAGAATTGGTTCTTACAATTAGGATAAGTTCCACTCTCTACCTCCTGCATTGGCTCTTTCTCTCAGATGCAAAGTAATCCTAAAATGCTGTGCATTTCAGCTCCTTCTCTCCAACAACATTCTGGTTCCAAATGGTCTCCAACTTGTTAATTGACTTGCCATTCAATCAACCCCAGGGCTCTCATCTGCAACCTGACCTGTAAGTGAATCCATCATTCATTTCAAAAAGGTAACCACATCTTAAAAAATTAGCACAGACATGCATACAGCTTTACAACACAGTAATTATGATCTCACTCCTGTAAAACAGCGTCCTCTTAACTCATAGTAAGCAGTGGAATGGGAGATTCAGATGCATGCATAAAAGATGCACACTGCAAAATATATGTACTTGCATAGAAAATCTTTAATATTGAAAATGTATTTATGTTCCAACTAGTAGGATAGATTCTACAATAATGGGCTTTCAAACAATACATCTTTAATGCAATTAATTGAAATAGGTTGTGAAATAAAATCTGTGCATCCTTTTCATCTGCAAAGTTCTAAATTTTCTTGAACAATCTTGCAATTCAACTCGTAATAAGTGTCACTGTGAAATCAAGCCATAATTCTTCATAATTCAGCACTTCTGTCAATTCATTTTAATTAAAATCTGCTGCAAATTTTACTAGAAAATATAGACGTAAGACTGGCTGAAAGAAAAACGTGTATGGACAGTAAAGTGGAAAAAATTTTATACTTATTGCCTTTTATGTTCCCATTTCAGATTCAAATGCAACAAAAGTATAATTCATCAATTAGTCCGGCCCTTGTTCCAGGTATATACAACATATTCATTTTATGGAAGTAACCAACAGTAAACAGTAAAGGAATGAAAATGCAGAAGAAATGGTGATCATTGTATCATAAAGTTCAAGATAACGGTGGAAAAGGACAATAGACAATCAAACAATTAACTGGGGGCAGCAAACATCACAGGGGCAAGAATGAAATTGAGCCACACAGACTGGAACCGAGAGTTGACAGGAAAAACTGTAGCTGAAGAAGTGATAGCTCGGACACAGTCAAGGTATATTCCCTCAAAATGGAAAGGCGGGATAAGGATATTAAGAATTTCCAGGATTTAAAAGGAGATAAAGATTAATAATAAACAAGAAAATGTGTGCTTAGGACATGTATCAAGGAGAAAATACAATTAAGAACAAGGCTGAATGCAAAATGTTCAGAAGGGAGGTAACAAAGCAAACAAGAGAAACAAAGAAAAAAGGTGACAAAAAACTGCGGCTAAAATACAGGGAGGAATGCTAAAGTCTTTTATAGGCACATAAACAGCAAAAAGGTGGGTAAAGGAGGAGCAGGGCGGTTTAAGGGCCGAACACTTGGAGGCAGGAAGCATGGCTGAGGGATGATATGAATATTCTGCATCTGTCTTTACCAAGGAAGATGTCATCCAGCCTTGAGAATACAAAAGGAAACCTAATCATTAGAAGGGTTCAAAACTGATAAAGAGGTGGCATTGGATAAGCTGTCGGTACGTAGAGTTGACAAAGTTGATTAGGAACAGATGAGATGCATTCAAGAATATTGAAAGAAGTGAGAATGAAAATTGCAGTGGCAACAGCAATAATCTTTCTGTCCTTTCTTTATATGGGATGGTGCCACAGGACTGGAGAATTGCAAAAATAATTCCATTGTTCAAAAAAAGTTGTAAGGAAAAACCCAACAATTAAGTCCACTCAGTAAATTCAGTAGTGGGGAAGCTTTTAGAAGCAATAATTTGGGATAGAATTAATGGTCACATTGGCAAACAAGGGTAAATTAGTGAGGGCCAGTGTGGATTTCTTGAGGGAAAACCCTGTTTAGCTAACTTGGAGTACTTTGAAGTGATTTATGAGGGTAATGTTGTTAGTAGTGTACATGGAGTTTCAAAGCACTTGATACAATGCCACACAACAAAATTGTGAGAAAGGTTTTAGCTATGGAATAAAAAGGAAAATAGCAATGCTGGCTGAAGACAGGAAACAAAGTAATGGTTAGTGAATATTTTTCAGACTGAAGGAATGCTTGTATTGTTGTTCCTCAGGTGTTGGAATGGAACTCTTGTTTTTACTGATTTATATTAATGATCTACATCTTGGAGTGAAGGGGGCAATTTCAACGTCTGTAGATGATACAAAACTTGGAAGCATTGGATACCGTGAAAGAGACAGTGTAGAATTTCATAAAGGGCATTGACAAGTTGGTGGAGTGGACAGATCGGTGACAGATGAGGTTTAATCCAGAGAAGTGTGAGGTTATAGAAATGTGGAGGAAACAGGTTCAATCGAGGCATTGAAGAGGATAGTAGATCATTACTTAAATAGAAATGACATGCAGGACTACTGGAAAAGAGTCGGATGGTGCTCATTTGGAAAGCCAATACAGAAAAGGCCAAGTGGCCTTTTTCTACACCATAACTATTCTGTATGAGAACTATTTTCAGATGGGAATGAGACTCTCCCCTTCAAACATTCTGACTTGATGCCTGGCTTTTGAAATTTCAGAGTCTACTGAATTTCTAATCATGAACATCTTTTCTACAAGATAAACAAAAAATGTCACCACTTCCACTCCTCAGTCCATTTTAACTATTACAATGGGACAATTCCACATTTTACCAAAAATTGCAACTAATGGATCAACTCAGAGACCATCCCCTTAATGTAACGAAATACAATTACAGTGTTGAAGGAAGAAAAAAGCCCCGAATATATAACATCTAAGTAGGACCTAGAAACCTCCTCCGCAGGAAAGGAAAAGATACTGCAATTTCATTATGGATTTGTTCCATGTAATTTTTTGTGGATAAACAGTAAATAAATATACGTATAACTAATACTCTGAGAATACAATTGGTCTTTTTAATGGTCTTGTAGGTGGCTGAGGTCACTGGTCTGGAAAGTGCTCTCAAATGAGCCTTGGTGAACAATGCATTTGCTGATGGTACACACTATTGCTACAGTATGTCAGTGGTAAAGGGAGTAAAAGTTGGAGGTGATGGACTGAGTGCTTTTTTGAGCTCAAAATGGTTGTTTTCTCTTGAATGCTATCAAGCTTCTCGAATATCATAGGAAGTGCGCTCACCGAGGTAAGTGGAGAGTATTTCATTACACTCCTTACATGCATCTTGTAGGTGCATAATAGGCTTTGGGAAGTGAGGAGGCAAGTGAGTCTGTGCAGACTATCCAGGCTCCAAACTCCTCTTTTTGTGAAGAGCATTTATGTGGCTGATTTAACTAAGTCTTGGTCAATGATAATTGCCAGGGCATTCAGGCTGGGGATGAACTGATGGTAATGCCACTGAATGTCAGGGGTTGTTGTTAGACAACTCTGTATTGTTGGATATGGTTATTATATGGCAGTTGTGTGGCACAGAATATTACTTGCCACTCATCAATCCAAGCCTAAATGATGCTGAGGCCGTGATGCACTGCTTCATTCTCTGAGGACTTGCAAATAGTATTGAACACCTGCACACATCAGTAAACCTTCCAATTTGACAATCGTCAGCAAACATTTCTATTTTAAATTTCATGTTGGAAAGAACGGCAGTGATGAAGCAGCTGAAAATGACTAGAGTTCCTCACAGCAGTGCTCTGGGTCCAATGTCTTGGGGCAGTTATGACTGGTCCTCAACAATCACAACACCTTCCTTTAAACTAAAACCCCAGCAGGTGGAAGCTGTGATTTGATCTGGAGTTGTGTGGCCCTGGTGGAACCCATGTGAGCGTTGGTGAGCAGGTAGATTAGTTCTGGAGCATGTCTTCAGCAGTATGCATTGTTGGTACCCAGCACACTTTGTCTTCTTCAAATGTGTTGAAATTGAATTAGTTGAAGACTAGCATTGTTGATTGCAGAACTCTCAGGAGGCATCCAAGATGGATAATCCAAGTGGCATATCTTTTGGATACACATGCTGGGTTCCACTATTGTTGAGTATGGGAACATTCATGGAGCTTCCTCGTTCCATTAGTAGCTTAATTGTCCACTACCAGTCCAACTGGATTTGGAAAGACTGAAGAGCTTTGACCTGATTTATTGATTGCTGGTTCACTTAGCTCTATTTGTAACATCTTGCTTTCTTTGTTTGGCATGCATGTGGTCCGGTGCTGTGGCATCACCAAGTTTATAACTATCAATAGTTTCATGGCCATTATTATTGATAGCAAATTTATTTTTTTGCCAGGTATTTAATTAACTAAACCTAATGTTTACAGCTGCCATGGGTTCTGAACTCCTGTCTCCAGAACATTTGTCCAGTCCCCTGTAATACTAGGCCAGTAGCATAGATCATTTGATTAGTTCCAGTCTTGTCTTCCAAATTATTTGAATGCTTAATACAGACAACTTCTAATCCAGTGGAAATACTTTCTGTTTGTAAACCACTGACACTGAGATGAATGCCAACTACAGTTAATTATGCCGAAATAATGCCAAAAAAGTTAATTAGTGATTTGTATGCACAACGGATCAGCTCCCAGTATTCACTACCTTCAACATGTTACAGCATTCTTAAATACACACTTGCCTGATCCACAATGTTGTCTGTTCCTCAAACTATGCCTTCTATGATATGGAGCGCAGCCACAGTCTGAGAACATTAACTAACAACAGTCATACGCCTAAGGAATAAAGGTATTCACTGGAGTGTGGTTAATGCTCAAGTATCTGCGTAGGTGTTTTTACTCCACTCAAGTGGCAGTTGAATATTCCTAAAATAATCCTCAGCAAGAAATATTTATCCCTTCTCTGATATATTTACAATGAACCAGCATCTAATGTGCACCAGATAATGACCCCACCCGACATGCCTTGACAACCAGGTTCACTTACTTGTAAGAGTGAATGTTCCAGAGTCCTTGCCAATGATACGGTTTCATTGAAAGCCATTCCAGTGTCTTCATTGCACAATAGATTCCAAATCCATTACACAGAAAGACATCCATTATCCACTGTAAACAGAAGTACAACTTTACAACCTTTCCACAATAGTTGGGAAAGGAAGAAAACACGGGTCGTTCTATACAGGCAGCACGCAGGTTTGAACATGAACAAACATTCTTGTCCTGGATTCAGCAGGTTGTGGGCTCGAGTCCTACTCCAAACACTTTTTTCCTGTTCGTTCTTGGGATTTAAGCATCACTGGCGAGGCCAACATTTATTGACTGACCATCACTAATTGCCCAGAGAGCAATTAGAAGTCAATCACATTGCTTTGAGCCTGGAGTCACATGTACGCCAGACCAAGTAAAGACAACAATTTCCTTCTCTAAAGGATATTAGTGATCCATATAGGTTTTTACACCAATTGACAATGGTTTCATGATCACCATTAGACTCTTAAATCCGAACTTTATTTCATTGAATTCAAATTCCACTCACTGCCATAGCAGAATTTGAACCCATGCCCCCAGAACATTACCTGGATCTCTGGATTAATAGTCTAGCGATAATATTACTATGCCGTATATTTCAGGTAGCAGCGCAGGGAAGCATCAAGGTTGTTTTGTTGGAAGCATCACCTATGCAATGAGGCTTTAAACCTTCCCAGAGATGTAAAAGATTCCATAGCACTATACCAGATAGCAGTGAGTATGAGTGAGCAGCTGTTTTTTGTACGTAGAAAGAAGTAATCTGAGGACATGGGTGGCCAGGTGATTTTAAGTATGATGAATTTGGTAGCAGGATATTAATTATATTCATCTGTACATCAACTAGCACAGCTTATCTAGTCATTACTTCATTGCTAATAGTTGAAATTTGTCTGAAAATTGGTTGCCACAACAGGGATTAGATTTCAAAAGTACTTAGTAAGTTGTAAAGTGCTTTGGCATGTCTTATGGGTATGTCTTTCTTCAAATACTCGAAATGAACTTGGTGAACAACTTGCCCTCCTCTTTACTATCAGATCTAACTGCATCATCACAAAGAGAACTGTCATTTTTTCTGGACAACACTGTGTTCAACTGTAAGAACACCATGACCAGCAGAATTTACTGCAGTTCAAATCATTTTTCACAAGTTTTATAAATTATCTTCGGCCCCTGCAAAGCTCATCCTCCACTTTAAATCTCAAAAGAAACCAAAGTAATGTTATTGACTGCTTGCTTTGTTACCTTCCCTTCTTACTGCAAGTCACGTAAGCACACCTTCCCGCATCTCATTCTCTGGAGTTGCTCCCTGAACTCTTCCTCATCTCATATGCATACATTTGAAAAGCTACCACTGGTACATGTGACCAGCCCTCGTCCCCCACCATTTCTATTCCTCCTGCGATTCTATTCCAAACTTTACTTCCTGGAAGCCATCCTCGATCTGGCCCACTTCAGCAGGATGACAATTATCTAAGTCACTGAGGATAAAAGGACATGGGGCTTGGGGCAGGAGTAGGCCATTTGTCTCTCTGAGTCTATTCTGTCTTTTGAAATGCTAATTGCTGATCTGGGTTGTAATCTCACCTCCGCATTCCTGCCGGGCTCGCTAGTACCCTCAACTCTCTGGTCTCTCAAAAATTTATCCATTCCAACTTTGAATAAAGTAAACGGCACAGCTTCTACAGTTTTTGGAGAAGAGAATTCCATAAATTAAAAACTCTGAGAGAAAATATTTTTCCTCATTTTAAAAGGGAGATACTTTACTTTTGCACTGTGCTCCCTAGTTCTAGTCTCTCGTACAAAGCATTATCTGTCTGGTATCCACCTAATCAAGTGCCCTCAGGATCTTGTATTTCCCTCATTGTTCAAAACACAGATTGGTACTGGCCAAGTTATTCAACCTTCTTTTAAAATAAAAATGTAATGCTTTCAATCTTAGAAATGAGTCAAATGAATTTTTTATAAACTTCTTCAAATGCAGTTAAAGCCTTTTCAAATAAGACAACAAAAAAACAGACACAATACTCCAGATGTGATCTTACTGAGGGCCTGTACAGCTTCCCAACTTTTATATTTCATCCCTTGCAACAAACAACAAAATTCCATTTGTCTTCTTGAGCCATTTGCCTCTCTGTACCACTGAGTTCTGCAATCTTTCTCCATTTAAACAATATTGTTTAGTCTTCCTACCAAAGTCGACAAGTTCACATTTTTCCACATTGTACTTCTTCAGTTAAACTTTTGCTGAGTCACTTAAACTATGTTGAACACTTTGTAAGTTTTTTCTTATAGAATCCCTACAGTGTGGAAATAGGCCCTTCAGCCCAACAAGTCCACACCAAACCTCAAAGCATCCCACCCAGACCCACCCCACTGTAACCCACCTAATCTACATATCCCTGAACACTATGGGCAATTTAGCATGTCCAATCCACCTAGCTTGCTCATCTTTGGACTGTGGGAGGAAACCGGCGCACCCAGAGGAAACCCACGCAGACACGGGGAGAATATGCATAGACAGTCGCCCAAGGGTGGAATTGAACCCGGGTCCCTGGTGCTGAGAGGCAGCTGTGCTAACCACTGAGCCACCGTGCCGCTTCCTCTTTACCTCCTTTAAGTTCTTTACCTCCTCTTACTGTTCTACTTGTCTTGGTATTATCAGCAAATTTAACTACATATATTTAATTCATTCCTCCAAATCACTGAAATGGATTGTAAATAGTTGATATCCCAACACAGATTAATTATAAATTGCCAATTCAAAGAAGATCCATTTACTCGTAATCTCTGCTTCCTGTTACTTCAGCAAACCTTTAACTATTCTAATTTGTTCTTGTGCAAGTGTGACAGTTATACTTTCCTATTACAACTTTGTCTGTTACCACCATCACTGAAAAAGCGTTCAGGTTTTCATGATTTGAGGCTCAATTTTTTTCCAATCTTTTCCTGGTTGGTCAATCTCCCTTAAATGAATTCACAACCAACTATAACTGCCGAAACGCTGTAATCTATGGTATACACATTCTCCCAAAGCTGCAGTCATTCAGCATCCAGCCTCAAAATTGTGATGCTGCCTTCCTGCCTTACCCCACACCCAAGAAACACTGCAATATTTCTTGTCCTATCCATTGCTGCTTCAGAGCTAGCACTTTTCATTGATCCACTATGCAGCTATTTTCTGAACCTCCTTGCCCAGTGTACTTTACCTTGCTACTTGTTTTTTAAAAATCATTCAAAAAAAATCCTTTAGCTTTTAGTCTCTACTCCAAAACTCTCCATTCTCCTCCTTCACTTTCCTGCTCAGTGTTCACATTTCCTTTTCTTTCTTACTATCTTCAAGAGCTTTAAGAAGCCTTCCTGCACACAAGCAGCACTGCAGAAAAAAAACTGACAATGCATACACAAGTCAAACACTATTGACAGTTCTGAAGTTATCGTCTCTGGGTCCAAAGCACTAACTCTGCTGTCCCTCTACAGATGCTGCCAGACTTGCTGAGTTTCTCCAGCTATTACCATTTCTGCCTTTTTTTTCGCTTATTGGGAGTTTGTCTTCTCCTAATACAAACATCAAACCTTCTCTGGTTACAAATGCTTTTTAATGCAATTAACGATAATAATAAATGAAATCATTATTTACACAGTGAACACAATTAGAGTTTTGTTCAGTGCGTGTAAGCAATTTACATCAATAGTCAGCACAGGGCAAGTATTTATACAGATACATACATGATCCCACCAACATTCACTGAAATTAGGTAACTGATGCTCCAGACTGTACTCCAGGAACTCAAACATCACACTAATTATCATACACATCCACCAGTCTCGAATCATTAGTGTCTAGACAGAAAGAAAAAGGGACATAATTATCTGGCATTTGATCCTAAAAAAAACTAATTATGAACATTTGAATGGAATAATTTTTCCACTACATTTACCACAGTTATTGAAAGCACGTTTCTTTCAAGCCTGAAGGATGAGGCTGCAAGGTAAGATATTGAATGATTGTGCAAACTAATAATGCGGTTATGAGTTTAAGGACACCAAATCTTCTTATCTAGTTGACAGCAATTACCACAAAGAACATGTCAATCAATATCTAGGTAGGTCATCAAAACAAAAATCAGGTATTGGACCAGAAAATGCAAACTGAGCATCGCTACAAAGACTTGTATAAAGTTACAAACTTGAGGATTCTAAAAGGAGAGAAATGAAAATCTTTTTCTGCAAATGCAAAGTTTAAGGCAGGAGTCAGGTGATACAAAAGTGACGTTAGGAAACAGATCATGCCAGACGTGTAAAACTCTCTTCCACAAATTGGAATTTGAAGGTTGGTCAATTATTAGTTTTAACTCTGTGTATGATAGAATCTTAACCAGACATATGGAGAGAAGGGTGGTTTATGGAGTTAGGTCAAAAATTAGAAGGCACATAGGAGAAAAAGCAAGGGAGTGAGACTAATCAGATAGCACATTCAAAGAATCACACAGATTCTTTGGGCCATAGTCTCCTACACTTATTTCTTTTTGATTCTAAGATGTGTACAGCATGCAAGGTTACCATGTTTAAAACTAAAGATGCTGATAGCTCATTAAATATTAGAGGTCAAAGAAAAATCAACGCTTTTCAATATTTTCCAATTAACCTGGTCAGAGATGTTATTACACACCTTGGGAGCAGTTGGGACTTGAACATGGGCCTTCTGGTTCAGAGGTAGGGACATTACCACTGTACCACAAGACCGTTTGAACAGGTTAACATCAGGAACATTTATAACCCAAACTGGCAGGATTCAAAGCTGCGTGAGTGACCCCAACAGATTTAAATTCCATCGCCTTAACCACTCAGCCACGATTAGAGGCCAACCCTTTAAAGCAATGCTGTAAGCAGATGATGTGCGCAGCTTGGAAGTTGCCTGGAAGGACCAGTTGAGTTTTTCTCTGGAAATTTACTTATGTCTGCAATCAGTTAAGTACATCCCTATAGCAAGTGTACTTCAAAAAAACTAAAATCAAGAAAACAAAATTGTTAGTCTGTCATCTTAATGTTTACAGATAAGATTTAATACTATCTTTGCAATGCAAATGATGATGAGAACACGATGGGGCTTTAATAACATGCAAGATAGTCATGAAGGAAAGCTTATCCAGTTCTTATCTCACCTTAAGGTACCAGCCCAGGAAGTGGGCTGGGACAAATCCATCCAATTTATCCTAAAACACAAGAAATAAAACTTAAATGTTAAGGAAAAGCTTCTTTAATTAAACTTCAGATTTCAACAATTTAGCATACAAAATACTTGCCCCTTCACCAACTGTCTGACAAAATTAATATTTTACTATTGCTTGTAATAAGTGTCAATGCGCCTTTTAAAAAAGCTACTTTACCTCACTGATCGATCTCTGGGGAGAAAAAAATGAACAGATTACATAAATCTCAATAGCTGATTATCTAACTTTACTGATTATGGTTACAAAAGCAACAGAATACAAGGCCTGGACTAGAAAGCCAAGAAATTTTGGTTACACAGGACAAATGGACTGACTGAACAACAGTTTTGGACTCTTTGCAGAATGAATTCTTGATCATTGAAAACTACTTGTGAAGGACACTTGCATGAGGACAAGGAGAAGAAATTACAAAGCTACACAGGAAGTCCTCAAGATAGCCGATCTATTTTCTTGTTTAGAAGTGCTTGATCTCTCTGCAGGAAGGGAGAAAAAGGTAGCAAGAAAATGTACAAGAATCAAACTATAATCCATCCTTATACATGCTTGTTAAATTTCAAAATACAAAGGGAAAATTATAAACAGCATTTGAATAATAAACGGACCTTCAACCTTCACTAGCAGATGTTTAAAATTAAAGCATGATATTTCCTTCATGGTGAAGCTTCAAAGCCATTGTTCCGGTTAAATAGTGCTGAGAGCTTTGGTGCTTTGTAACAGCTTAATCAAATCAACCAATGTCCCTCCAACCACATACACGGAGTAAAAAGCTGGTAGAAGGAAAAGTTGTAGATGCATACTGGTTTGGAGACCGAACATAATTCACTTTCAATGCACACACACACACAAGTAACAAATGCAGAAGGCAGCTTTCCAATGAGGTTATTGCAAATGTCTGAGACAAAACTGTAGTTTTGTGATAAACATCAGCTTTCTACTGTGATAGAAGGTATCTATCAAATAAAATATGAACTGAAATTATATCAAAAATAGATCTAACAAGTAAAGTAAGTTAAGGCTGCAATTTGATAACAGCAGTTCTTACATACAATGTAATTTTTTTGGGTGGCAACTTCCACGCACACAGAATACATCAACAGTTCATTGGAGTTTGCTCCAAAGGTAGTGCTACTCTCCACTTCTTTACCAAAGTGATCATATTAGTGTTGCAACTCTCTCAATAACTATTGTCTTCATTGGGTTGTATTCTTCAGCATAGGACCTAGAGTAGGTTTGGTCAGGGTCCAAACATATCCTCACCTGATGTTCCTTTATCTAATCCTCCAGCTTGGATTTCTGGATACCGGTCAGAGGAGCTGCAACCCTGGTCAATTTTCCTTCCTTAACCCAAGGCAGCTGTGAGACTAAATCAGACCTTAGAGACATTTCTAACCTAAAGGTCAACTTTTTAATCCCATAACCTGACCAAAACAAAAGCCACCTACTTACAGCTCTGCAACAGCTGTCATCTCTGCATATTTCTTGGCTCATTTGCTACTAAAATACTCTTCCAAGCTTTGATATTTCTAGACTTAGTCATTTCGTTGGAACCCTAGTTAGCCCCCTGTCTTGCACCCTTTGGAAACTTGATCTCAGACACATTGTTTGTATCTTCATTCAAAGTGAGTCCCGTTTATCAACAGCCCTGTATTTGCTAATCTACATTGGTCCATGGCTCAAAAACACCTGCGATAAAATTTTCAACCTTGTTTTCACATCCCAGTATGGATTCTTCCTTCCCTATCTTTGTGATTTCACTGCCCCTCCAAATGTGGCATCTGAAACATTCCCAATTTCTCCTGTCTCAGTATTGGCAGCTGGGTCTTCAATTGCCCAGGTGAAATGTTCTGGGATGCTCTTCTTAAACCTCTCTGCTGCTCTCTCTGCTTTTAAGGCATCTATGAGAATGTACCACTTGGATCAAACATTTAACCAATTAATGTAGTTCATGGTATGAAAGCTTTTATGAGAATTGAGTTATGGTCCGTTTTAATATATTTAAATATTATTTTAGTTGCAGTTGTTATTCGTTAATTTATTTCATCTGATTTTTGTGGGTCTAGAAGTCTGGAAAGGAGCCCATTGATGGATAAAATCTGAGCATTTGAACATTCAGATTTGCATTCACCCTTTGGGCAATGTCAGCACCCACTGTGCTACAACACTGCCTCCCACTGTGCTACAACATTGCCTCCCACTGTGCTACAACACTGCCTCCCACTGTGCTACAACTGCCTGCTACAGCTCATGCAAGAAAAGATAGTTCACTTAGGTGAACTTTCAGAGCATCACTAGCACTCGCAGAACCTAACTGCTAAACAGTTTAGTTCGTAAGTTTCAAAGAATGAAAGATGGGGATTGAAAAAAAAGCGTGGCCAACATTCTGAAAACATGAGATGGGGCACTTCAAGAGTTGAAGTGTAACTCGATTCCATCACGGGATATGATTTTCACTAAGAAGGGGAAGGAATATAGCAGTTGAGAAATCCAAATCAGTCTCACCCAGATGTTGTGATATGGGTCAGTCTTATTTCCTGGATCAAAGATAAGGCAGTTCCCGCCATAGTCCCTCTCTGGTAAGGGGACACCAAGTTTAGGATCTATAAACTTCATGAATTGACGACCATCCTGAACAGTCTGGAAAAACAAAATTAAAACATCATGCAATGTTTCAGAAACACATCAGTAAATGTTACCCTTCCAAGATACATGATTAAGTGACATTAATACTTGTGTCATTTTATCTGATCGAATGTTGCCTGGAGTCAAAAATTTATAATATATAGCACAAGTTCATCAAGCATCCAAACAATAAAAGTTGAGTAAAAGTTTATTTTTTCTATATCATGCCATCTCTTTTTCTTCCCAAAAATTAACACATGATTCAGCTGGTTACTTTGATGTCCTCTTTATCCACTTTGCTGCAAATGCATTGGCAATAACTCCAGGGAAAATAAATTATACATTTATTATTGGGGCAAAACCCTCCAGAATTTGAGTTCCAGCCCAAACTGCTATTGGCTGAAAAACAAAATGTACCAGCATGCAATCTTTTTTTCTTGGGTGAGACATGACTATTTGGAGGCTACATTCAGAAGTCAAAGAGGCATTTTCAGCACTACAAAATATACATGTCAATTTCAGTAAAGTTTCAGATGCAATTCTGCACCATCTGTGCATGGGTGGAATAATGCATACGCACATTTCAGTGTGTCACTGAGACAATGCCTCTTTGTTATGAGTGCCATCTTCCAGATGATAGTTCAAATAGATGTTACCCGTTCCATAAAGAGATCCTGCTGAAACTGTGTCAGTGCAATATAAATGGGAAAGCTTTAGCATGAACAGAAGATGACATAATAACTAGTATACTAGTAACTAATGATTACTGCATTAGTAATTCTAAAACTATTTTTTATTCATTGATTGGATACGGGCATTGATGACGAAGGCAGAATTTATTGCACATTGTTAGTTGTCCTTGAGAAAGCAGTCATGGGCTGCCTTGTTGAATCAGTGCACTCCATTTCGTACAGGTGATCCCAAAATACCACCAGGAAGTTCCAGGATTTTAACCCAGCACACTGAGGAAATGGCAAAATCTTCTAAGTCAGGATAGTGAGTGGTGTTGCATTGTTTCTCCTGCCCTTCGCCTTCTATATGGAAACGATTGTGGTTTTGGAAAGTGCTGTCTAAGGAGACTTGGTGAATTCCTGCAGTGCATGTTGTAGGAGGAAATGAATGTTTGTGGATGGGTGCCACTCTAGCAGGCTGCCTTGCCCTGGATGGTGTCAAGTTTCTTGACTGTTATAGGAGCTGCACCCATCCAGGCAAGTGGGAGAATTCCATCACACTCATGACTTGTGCTTTGTAGATGGTGGGCAGGCTTTTGGGGAGTCAGGGGGTAAGTTACTCACTGCAAGATTCCTAGCCTTCAACTTACTCTTATGGACTCAGTAGTGATAGGGCTAGTCCAGTTTAGTTTCTGGTCAATAGTAATCGTCAGGATGATGACAGTGGGGATTCCGCTATGGTAATGACATTGAACATCAAGGAGCGATGATTAGATGATCTTTTCTTGGAGATGATCACTGCACAGCATTCGTGCGAATGTGGTGCAAATGTTACTTGCCACTTACAGATCCAAACCTGGATATTGTCCAGGTCTTGCTACATTTGAAAATGGACTTTCAGTAAATGTTGCCCAACGCTGTGCAACTATCAGCAAACATCCTGATTGTCCAGATCTTGTTACATTTGGACATTGCCTGCTTCAGTACCTGAGGAATCATGAATGATGCTGAACATTGTGCAATCATTGGGGAACATCCCCACTTCTGACCTTATGATGGAGGGAAGGTCATTGATGAAGCAGCTGAAGATGGCTGGGCCTAGGACACTACCCTGAGGAACTCCTGTAAGACATGTCCTGGAGCTGAGATGACTGACCTCCAACAACTACAGCCATCTTCCAAAGAGTAAGATATGAATCTAACCACCGGAGAGTTCTCCTCCGATACCCATTGATTCCAATTTTGCTAGGGCCCCTTGATGCCACACTCAGTCAAATGCAGCCTTGATGTCAAGGGCTGTCACTCTCACCTCACCTCTGGAATTCAGCTCTTTTGTCCATGTTTGAGCCAAGGCTGTAATGAGGACAGGAGCTGAGTGGCCCTGGCAGAACCCAAACTGGGCGTCACTGAGCAGGTTATTGCTGAGCAGGTGCTGCTTGTTAACACTGTAGAAGACACCTTCCATCACGTTACTGACGATCGAGAGTAGACTGATGGGGTGGTAATTGGCTGAGTTGGATTTGTCCTACTTTTTATACTTGGGCAATTTTCCACATTGTAGGGTAGACGCCAGTGTTGTAACTGTACTGGAACAGCTTGGCTAGGGGAGCGACAAGTTCTGGAGGACAAGTCTTCAGTACTATTGCCAGAATGTTGACAGGGCCCATAGCCGCTGGTATCCAGTGTCTCCAGCCGTTTCTAGATATGACATAGAGTAAATCAATTTAGCTGAAGACTGGTATCTGTAATGCTGGGGACCAGTGAAGGAGGCTAAGATGGATCATCAACTCAGTACTTCTAGCAGATGACTGCTGCAAAAACATCAGCCTTATCTTTTGCACTAATGTGCTGGGCTTTTCCATTATTGAAGATAGGAATATTTGTGGAGCCTCCTCCTCCAGTGAGTTGTTTAATTGTTTACCACCATTTACAACTGGATATGGCAGGACTGTAGAACTTAGATCTGATCTGTTGATTGTGGTTGTTCTGTCTATCACTGCTGCTTATGCTGTTTGGCATGCAAATATTCCTTTTTGGCTTCACCAGGTTGACACCTCATTTTCAGGTATGCCTGGTGCAGCTCCTGGCATGCCTCCTGCACTCTCCATTGAACCAGGGTTGATCCCCTGGCTTGATGGTAATGGTTTTGAGTGGGGGATATGTCAGGCCATGAGGCTACAGATTGTGCTGGAGTATAATCCTGCTGCTATTGATGGCCCACAGCGCCTCATGGATGCCCAGTCTTGAGCTGCTAGATCTGTTTGAAGTCTGTCCCATTTAGCACAGTGATAGTGCCGCACCACATGATGGAGGTTATTCTCAATGTGAAGGTGGGACTTCCTCTCCACAAGGACTGTGCGGTGGTCACTCTTACCAATGTTGTAATGGACAGATGCATCTGCAGCTGGCAGATTGGTAAGGATGAGGTCAATTATGTTTTTCCCTCTTGTTGGTTCCCTCACCACCTGCTGAAGACCCTGTCTAGCAACTACTGTAATAGCTTGGCGAGGGGCATAGTAGGCTCTGCAGTCAAGTCCTCGGTACCTTTGCCAGAATGCTGCCAGGGCCCAAGTTTTTGCAGGATCCAGTGTCTCCAGCTGTTTCCTAAAATCACATGGAGTGAATCGTATTGGCGAAAAACCATGGACGTGTGGAGGAGGCCATACATTTGGTACTTCTTGCTGAGTATTAATGCAAATTATTAAAGCTTATCTCTTTTACTGGTATGCAGGGAACTCCATCATTGAGCATGGGAATATTTGTAGAGTCTCTGTTTCCAGTGAGTTTTCAATTGCCTACTACCAGTCATGACTGGACTCTTGGGGCAATTTTCTCCTGATTGCACTCCACTGTACCAGCAACTCTGCTAGGTCTGTCCTGCCACCAGGACAGTACATACCTAGAGACAGTGCTGGTGTTATGTGCAAGGTATGGTACTGTGAGTATGACCATGTCAGGTTGTTGTTTGACTAGCCTGACTGACAGCTCCCTCAATGTCAACACGAGCCCTTAGATGCTGGCAAGTTGGACTTTGCAGGGTTGACCGGGCTAAATTTTCCATTATTGTTTCCAGTGTTTTAGTCAATGCCAAGTGGAACATCCAGTTTTCTTTTTTTTTTCCCCAGAGTTTTTAAACAGTTGTTTCAACAAAATGGCCATTTCAGACAGCAGTTGAGTGTGGGTCTGCAGTCAGACTGGAGACTGGGGAAGGAAGTCAGTTTTCCTTCCCTGTAGCACACTGGAAGACCATATGGGTTTCATGTACATTATTAGACTTTGAATTCAAATTCTATATTCTGTCACAGAAGCATCAATGACAACTCAGCTAAAAATAACCACTGAACAATAATTTTGAAAAGAAAAGCTCTGTTTGACACTGAGGACACCTTCCAATGCATTATGTAACACTGCACTGAGTCCTCCAACACTCCCACAAGTGGTCGACAATTAAGTAGCCAATCGGTCTGCAGCTCCATAAACATCTCCATCCTCGATGATTGAGAGCTCAAAAATTGAGCGCAGAAGACAAGACTGAAGCATTTAGAATCATTTACTGCCAGAAATGGCAAGTGAATTGTTTGTCCTGGCCTCCTCCTGAGAAGCATCACAGAAACTGTTAGCAAATTCCATTCACTCCACATCACAAGAAATAACTGAACCTACTTAATTCAACAATGCTTGTGATACTGAAATAACCAAATCAGATTGTTCCAGAACAACTGAAGCACCGACAGCTAACAGTTTTGTAGTAAATTGTCCAGGTACATACTGTTCAATACAAGTAGGGCAATCCAATTTGCCCAATTTCCATAACATCAATCAAAATCAAAATAATGGAATAGCAAGGTCAAATGGAAGTTCCTCACCAATAACTTGTTCACCAATATTCCCTTTAAGTTTAGATAACCTGGCTCTAGACCTGACTATGCCTTGGTTTAAACATTGATAAAGGGGTTAAATTCCAGTGATAAAGCTGCGGTGATTGCTCTCTGCAATGAAGCAGCATTGCACCAAATATGGCAACAAAGAACCCAAGTCAAATTGAATAAAGGGAATCTGGGGAAAACTTTCCACTGGCTGGTGTTATATCTAACACAAAGGAAGATGGCAGTAGTTGTCAGCGATCAGTCATCTCAAACTCAAGATATTGACATGAGTTTCCCAACGCATTGTCTTATGCCCAGCTATCTTCAACACCGTCATCAATGATGTTTCCTCTATTTTAAGGATATTTCCTGACAATTACAAATTTAGCTCCATTCATAACTCTAGGTTTGCTACATACAGCAAGACTAGGATAACATCCTGTCTGAAGTTGAAATGTGGCAGGTAAAATTTGCACCA